TTTAGAGCTAAGGAACGAACCCCAAGCGACTCTTGACGGTTTTCCACCATTCTTGAGGCTAAAGGTAAGTTTTTCACTCCCCGAATCCATTTTTTTGATCCGTAAAACGTAATAGAATGGGTAATTATCGATGAGGAGGGTTTTTGATCTAGATTCTATTGTGGAAACAACCCTATTTTGGGTACTTGGGATCATGGGTATGATCTAGGGTTGATGGAATTGTTAGTAATCCGAGTAATTAGTAATTGTTTATTGATTCTCGTATTTCATTGATTATTTGTAGACCAAGAACAAACGGAACGAATCCGAAAAGGGAAGGATCAAGTTTCTTAGGGTTTTAAGCTTGTTTCGAGGTAGGTGATGGTTGTGATTCTATGATTGTGTGATGTATGTTTGTTCTTGCTTCATTATGATACATGTATGTATATGAATGTTGCATTATTGATCACACTTGTTGTAAGTGAAATAGATGAATGATGGTTACCATGAAATCATGACTTAAATGTATGATCTTGAGGGTATACTTGTGATTGTTATTGTGGCGTGTTGAATGGATCGGTTGCCACGTTCCGACATAACTTACTTGGATCAGACGTTGCCACGTTCCGACATAACCAACTAGGATCGGACGTTGCCACGTTCCAGCATAATTATGAGATCGGTTGCCACGTTCAGGCATAAACATTGGATCGGATACCACGTTTCGGTATGCTAATTGTTTGGGTTTGAGTTCCATAAGAAGACCAATGACTTGTTATAAATGTATATTGTTGAGCATGTGATAATCGATATTGTATATGTTCGGTATGTTGCATGTTTGTAATGTTGTATTGATTTGCTTATGTTACACTTTGTGGGATAGCCGCGTGATCCTACCAGTACACTATGGTTGTGTACTGATACTGCACTTGCTCTTTCTTTGTTGAGTACAGGGCATCTTCAAGCGGCTATTGATAGACCTTGCTTAGAAGATCAGTGATCGTTCGAATTCAAGAGTGAGCCAGTTCTTCTAGGCTACCATGAGTTCTCTTTTCGTCTATGTCCACCATTTCGGATTTAGACTTTCTAATTAAGTTTTAGTTCATTAATTTGGGGTTGTGACCCATCTTGTTTAAACTTATTGAACTTTAGATGTTTTGGTACATTGACTTTCAGGTTCTAGGTGTGTTTTCCGCAATGTTAGTTGTTAGATCTTTTGTTTGAAGTTTATGGGAACTTCAATTTTAGTTATTATTCCTATTTTTGTATCTTTAAATGCTTTAGTTTTTGGCTTAGTTGCTTGGTTTGGGTTGTAGTAGTGGTTCTCCCACCGGAGGGTTAGTGTGGGTGCCAATCACGATGGTCTGGGTCGTAACACCATGAAGCATACATAATTTTTTAAACCCTAAGTTACGTTTTGCCACTAAAACAAGAGTTATATAGTATCTCATTCATTAGGCTTTGTGAAATAGTGTTTTTGTGTGATTTGAGACTGTCTTTGAGTTTGATGAGGTCGTAGGCATTTAAAATACCGCTACTCCTATGACAAATATATATCTATTTTATCCTCGAATGAAGTAATCCAACGCCTCGAGTACAATAAGGAGATTAAATTCCTAAAGAAAATACAATGAATTATGTGATCTCGGATTTCTTTTTATTGTATTAAAGTTTATGTTTTTTTGTTTATTTCAACTTTCCTCTTTTTAATTTGTTTGTCTTTCTTTCCTATTTGGTTCATTTAAAAAAGAACGTCTTCTTTCTTTTTTGACACCTCTTTAATTTTAACTTTTCACATGACATGTTTAAGATCACAAAACTAAAAGTTATTTGGTTAAGTTCTATGTATCTTTAATTTAAGATTACAAGATTCAAAAGTTCTCTTTCCTTTTTACTTTTTAGACTATGCACCAAGTCAAAAAGATAAATAAATTGAAAGGTAAGAAGCACTATTTTGTTATCAAAAATATATTTTATTTATATCATATATTAACAATATACAAAAAAAATAATACATTTTCTAGCTATTTTTTAAAATTAATGGCTATTTATATCAATTTCTTTTTTGAAAAACAACTAAATCATTACTATGCTCTTTCTCAATTTGTTGCAGAAAATTCAACGATGAGGCACGGATGCTACTATCACTGATACTATTAATATTAATATATAGTATATCCCAATCTCTAGAATGGGGATTAATTAATTTGAAGCTCTAATTAGTGTAGTGATCACACATCTTATGATAAAATATATGCACTTACTCAACACACCTACCTTTAATATTGACTGTTAAACTTCCTCTCTTTGTTTCCTTTATTATTTTTTTGCCAAATAGGAAAATGCTTTTCAAAATATATAGAGAGAGGCGGGCTTAGGTGGGGTTCGTGGGTTCGTATGAACTTAGTAACTTTTCCGTATATCCTGTATTTATACTAGAAATTTAAATATATATATATATATTAACTTGTGAACCCCTAACACAATTGATTGATGATTCAGTGGTAAGGAAGAGACCGTGAAAACTCTTTTTATGTAGAGTTGTGGGTTCAAACCCCCATCTCTTTTTTCAAAAAATAAAATAAAATGGAACCCCGAACTCTTAATCTATCTCATTTTCATAATTTTACGTTATCTTATTTATATTTACTTCAACTACTCTTCAAATAATATATAAAAATCTTAGCAAAATACGATTATTATTTGGTAAACTTTGCTTTAAATTTGGTGCTGTACCTAGTTCATAAACAAAAGAATGGAAATCAAATATAATTAAAGAAGGTTTACAAAATAAACCACACAATTAGGTTAAGGCCAAAACCAAAACAACACTAACTAAAAGCTATGAACTTAAACGGAGGGCAAATGTATATGTTGCAGCAAATAAAAGAAAGGGACTATTTTATAAAATGCCTAGTAAAAATAATTGCATCTACATGTTCATATTTTCACATTACGCTCACATTGTAGTGCTAGCAAGATTCGAATACACGAGTACTGGCTAATTCAAGGCGTCTGAAACCGTTGGGATACAATAACTTGTTGTGTCAAGAGTGTCCAAAATATATTATTTAATCACTTCGTGTATTATTTTATTTTTGTATACAATATTTTTTTCTGATGAAAGATGTCCAATTGAACACCCTGATAACCACGCAGCTCCGCTCCTGTACCTAGTAACCAAGATTTCAATTCCTTCTGGAAAATACATGTGGAAAAGTATAAAAAATTAGTAAGAGTGAAGTTTCCTTTAAAATTACTAGCAGCTGCTATTGTCAAAGTAAACAGAATTTGTCAAATTATAAAGTAAGAGGTGATGTTTTAGCTTGGACATATTATTAAAGAAAATTATTCATTTCTAGAAAATCGAAAATGTTTTTATTAGTTTACCCTTAATCAAATATTTTTAAAAAGAAAGTAATTTTTTTTAATATTTTAAAATTATGTAAAAATTTATTTATTTAAATAAGGGCAAAAGTGAAAGAAAAAATTCAATACCTTTTTAATTTCCTAATATCACTTATTTTAAAATAAAATAAAAATAAAAACAAAAATATCACTTATTTTAAAATGAGTGAATATCAAATTACTAAGGAAATTGAAGGACTATCTTGAGGTTTGACAAAATAAAAAAAGTCAAACAAAATGATAAAATTCAACAATGATTGAAAAACAAAAACAATTAAAAGGACTATTTGTAAGCAACTCATATTACTAGTCCAAATTTTCGACTACAAATACACTGCACAAACACAGAAAATACGTAGTAAATATCTTGTAATAAAAGCTACTATATATATTAATAATGATGGGGACAATTTTAAGGCAATATTGAACGCTTTAAGTGCAATCACATCATCAATTTTTATATTATTTCGTAGATTTCAATTTATGTCATATTATTTATTTTGAAAAAACATAATTTTTAAAATTTATGATCTCAAATAAAACTTAGGTATTTATTGTTGTAACTCATTTTATTGGGATGGAAAAAACTTTTTTTAGTTAAGCTATTTCTAATTAGGGTCCTTCTAATTAAAAAATATATATTTGACACACTTCTTCGGATGCATTAGGAAGGAAATTAAAGGGTGTGAGTGTCATAAATTGAGACGGACGATACTAAAATATTACTATTCTTCTAGTGAAAATTTTTCAATGACGATTTTCATAGATATTTCGTTGAAATTGATGAAAAATAAATAAATAATAATAATAATAATGTATTCGTACGAAAAAATTAGCAAGTGTTTCACTATTTCAGTGAAAATCTGATTTCATCATCCATTTTCTCAGTGAGCTGATTTGGTAGAAAATGAGTGGAAATTTTATAATTGAAAAAAAATATCATTTTACAACACAATTTTTTCACGAATTACAATGAAAAAAATCTTTATTTATGATAGTGAAAAAAGTTAAGTTACATTTTAAAACTATGACTTATTTATGTCAATTTTATGTCTTTATAGCTCAAATAGGTTCCGGACTCACAACTATAGCTTCCTTGAAATTTCTTCATTAACCAATTTAATAATTCTTCTACTATATTCTTCCTAATTTCAATGACTAATAAAAAAAAATAGTAGCTAGAATAAGTCTACTTCGGTTGCTTCTTATTCTATATTTCATAACAACACAATTTCCTATCCTTTTGGAGCCCACACAATTAATGACCTATGATTTACATACCAAAAACTCGATATATTTTACTTTATATGGCATAGTTTAATTCGATATAAAATTAAATTCATAATTTTAAATATGTTATAATATTTTTCAAACAATAAAATTGTTCAAACATATCTAGAAAATAGAAACACAAGCGAAATTTTATTTGTTGATTATTATACGTAATTAATTCAGAATATAAAATTGCATATTTCTCTCTTGAAGTATCTAATAAAGAAATAGTACCGCATAAACCATTCAACGGATGGAGTAACAAACACCAAACCAAATTTTTAGTACTATATATACTATACTATCCACAAATATATATAATATAACATTATGCCCCTACAAGTTGTAATTTTAAACACATTTTTTTCAAAATTTCAACAACATATATCATCTTCTTCTATCCATCGATCTAATCATCACTTTAGCAACAATACAAGAAACTATCAAACAAATATAATCTTTCCCCTTATAATTAGCCACAGATTATTAATTAATCACTAATATGGACATATTCCACAAAGCCAAGGTTGTAACATTCAAGAGCCATATAGATAAGTACTTAGTAGCCGATGATGATCAACAAACCACCCGTCAAAGCCGGCGCAACGGCTCGTTGAGTCGAAAATCATGGTGGCTAGTTGAGCTTGTTAGCGGAAGCAACCACCTCATTCGACTCAAAAGTTGTCATAGTGGAAAATACCTCATGGCTTCTGATGAACCATTTTTACTTGGCATGACAGGTAATAAAGTCGTTCAAAATTTGCCTGAAAACTATACAAATAATGACTTGAGAATCGAATGGGAACCGATAAGGGACGGATTTCAAGTAAAGTTAAAGGCTTTTGGTGGGACTTTTTTACGGGCGAATGGAGGTATGCCACCGTGGACGAATTCGGTTACACATGATAGTCCGCACACCGGTTCGACACATAATTGGATTTTGTGGAACGTGGAAATCCTCGATGTATCGGGAAACGAAATATCGATGATAGGTTATTCATCGATGGTCTCGAGCGTCTCGTCGATTTCCGATGAAGTTTCCGGCTTGGAAATGAGATCTCCGGCCATGTCGATACGTTCAACTTTTTCTTCTTCACCTAAAATAGCTATGGTATGTTTTTTAATCATGTCAACTTATTATTTCTTCTGTCTCAATTTATTTATGAATATAAAAAATACACAAAACGTCAATATTGTTAATGATGCAAAATATTTTTTGAAAAAAATTATAATTACAAAAAATATAAAAAGGTAATTGCCACGATCTTATCATAAATTATGACCATAGTAGAAAAGACGTATTAATGTCTTTTTTATTTCCTACTTAGGGAGCACGTAATTATAATTAGAAGAAAAGACATTTTTCTTTCCTAACATGACAAGGCACCATAATGAATAATTAATGTTAACGTGGACGTAATATAAGAAAACATGAAAATACTATAAAAATATAGTTAGAATTACGTCAAGATCGCTACTTCGATTCAAAAATAACTGACGGTTTTCCAATTTTTCGGTTTTTGTAATCATAATCCCATGTCATTTCGATTACTTGATAGGAAATTTTTTTAAACAATACGCACGTTATTGATGAAAATTGTACTCTTCTTTTTATTAGATTGGTAGTACTTAAAAAGGTAAATTATATATGGTTTACACACGTATACAACATGATTAAAGAGCAAATATATATTTAAAATTTGTTAGCTAGATTAATTTAAATTTACGCTAACGATGTAAGGCCAATAACAAATTAACAAATTTTCATTCCTAATACTAAAACTCGAAACTTTTAATTAAAAGTGACAAAACTCTTATTCATTAATTCCTCCACACTCCTTATATGATATTATAGTGTCTAACATGATATCAATAACTAGCAACAAAGCTAGGAGTAAATTGAAGTGAACCATGATAATTCTTAAGGGTGGAATTTATTTAATAATAAGTTAGGGATTATATTTAAATAATATATACTTGTGAGAACAATTAAATTATATAAATTACTAGTCTGAAAATATTTTATATTGTCAACATAGGTTTATTACCTTATTATAATTTTGTGTGTAATAAGTTAGGAATGTGTGTAAATCATTATGATTCAATGTCATTACCATATAAATTTGCTAATTTTGTAAATAAATTTTATATTATCAATATATAAAATTTGAATTTATGTGATAAATATACTCCTATATTAAACTATGATAATATTCCCATTTTATGGATACCAAAGTCAATTTTTTCAATAGAAGCCTAATCGATCTTTTAGTTCCTCTACTTTTATGGATACCAAAGTCAATTTTTTTTCAATAGAAGCCTAATATAAAATATTAAACTATGATAATTTTCATATTTTATTCATATGATACAAATAGAATTAATTAAGATAAAATAAATTACGAAGATAACTTTAAAATATTATATGTCATTATTATTTATGCATAAAAGGTTAAACTCAAGACCTTCTTCTACGTATGTATATAATGAAACTTTAACCATTAAGTCAATAAGTAGATTTCTAATTTCTTCATAAAATACAAGATAAAATAAAATAAGGACGATGATACAGACAGGTGAAGCAAGAGTGATCTTTCTAGTTACCTCGCCTTTTTACTTGTATGTATTTCTAAAATAAAAAAATTGGAAATCAACAAGAAATTACATGAGGCTTATTTTTTAATTAATATAATATTATTTTTTACTTGTAAATAATAGGTCTATGTGGTAGACCAAAATATGTATATATATTTATAGAGTACATGATTGACTTGCATGAGTCAAACCTTTGACTCTGAGTCAGCTGGCTGCTAAAATCTTATCATTCACACTGTTAATTACTCTCTTGGTTATTTCACGATTTTTAAAAATAACTATCTTAATTTTTTATTTAATATATATTAATTTAACATTATTCTTAGAAAAAACATTTGTAAAGGTTTTATTTTATTATTATTTTATATAATTATCTAATAATTTAAATAATATTAATAAAAAATAATAAACCTTTTTTAATTTGTTAAATGGCCAAGTATCTTAAAATTCTTAGCCAGCTATCAAACCCTAATAATTTGTGGGCACCCCTCGATATATAATTAATTTATAATTAATATACTAGCTAAACATTAAAAAAATAAAAGTTTGTATTGGATTCCTATCATCCTATGTAGTATAAAATAATTAAATTTAATGAGCTTCCAATTATTTTCAGTAGCTTATAAATGGGGTCCATTTTTACCAGTCATAACAAATGACAGCTATAAGAAAAAGTCAGATACTATAATTCCGGGATAAAATATAAGATTATTTCATCCAGCATATTTGAGGTATTAATCAGTTTTGAGATTGTTTATCTCAGAATTTACACCTTAGTGACAGAACAACTTATCTCATATATATGATAAAATATTTACTTCATGATAATTTATCTCAAAATAATTAACACCATGATAATTTATTCATAACCAAACGACTGCCTATTTAATTATTATTGCTCTGACTACGTTATATATTATATGAATCCGTGTGGCACATGCTTAAGTTACAATCTAATGGCTGGCGCCGTCTGCCAAATTGCCCATTTTCAATACCCTTGAATTATTCAAACACCAATCAATGAAAATGACGAAAATAGCCCTTTAAGTTTGAGTTAGAACCAAAATAATCCTTTTAATAATGCATTAAATTTTTTTAAGTCCTTTGAGTTTATTAATTTGTGTTAAATATTTCTGAACTTTATAGGTTAAATTTGATGAATCTTGTAGTCTTAAATTTGTCAGGTAAAACATTGAAATTAAATTATTTTCAATAAAGAAAAGCTACATTTTTTCTATAACGGACTAAAAAAAGTTTTACAAATAAATTAAAACGATTAGAAAAATCCCTTTTTACTGTCTAGTATAGTTTTGTGTTTGAATATTTTAGAATTTAATGGAACTTTTCTGATAAAATCATTTTTTTCCCACTAAATTCGGAAAATCTAACAATTAACAAACATACATTATTAAATGGAGTATTTGATGAAGACTAAAATATACTTACTTTATCCATCTTTCTTACGTGACAATGACATCATTTGATTTGGTACAATATTTAGGAAAAAAGAAACTTTTAAAATATGTGATCTAAAATAATTTTTAGATATTTGTGTGATGCATATAAAAAGAAAATTTTAAAGTGAAATTATTACAAATCACAGTAACATAACATTCTTTTACAACAGACTATAAAATAAATCACATAAAATGAAACGTAGAGATTATTAATCTTTAATAAATTTAAAAAAATTAAAATTGTTCTACTTCATACATAAAGGACCATTTTGTCATTTTCTCCAATCCTTTTCCACTTGCTCTATAAATACCTACTCTACAACAAATAAACATCTACACCAATTGTCATTTTTTTCCTCCAACTCTCTTATAAAAAATCCTCCAAAAATACTATTTCAAATTTTCTTACTACATACAATTTTTACAGAGTCCTTCGAGAAAGAAACCAGAAGAAATGGATCTTTTTTACAAGGCAAAAGCAGTAAGGCTAAGAAGTTATCATGAAAAATACTTAACAGCAGAGGAAGATGAAGAAACAGTGATTCAAGATCGTGATGGAGCTTCAAAGAATGCAATTTGGACTGTTGAATTCATCAATAATACTGAACAATTCAACACCATTAGACTCAAAAGTTGTTATAACAAGTATCTTACTGCTTCAAATCAAAGATTTTTATTAGGTATTGTTATGGTTTTGCCCTGATTTTTCTTAGTTTAATACTCTCTATGTTCTAATTTACGTGATATTTTTCATTTTTCGAGAGTCATACCGTCTAAGTTTGACCGAGAATTTATGAAAGATAGATTTGTTTGAATCTCAAAATTCGAAAAGTGCCTCGTAATTTGGGACAGGAGTACAATTTAAATTATTATTTTTTTACAAAAAAGGATTTTTTTAGTCACGAGGACGTTTGACCATGAAACTTGTGAGTATTTGAAAAAAAAAAGGTTTTATGATATTTGGAAAGTAGAGTTGTATTTGACCATGAATATAAATTACAATTTTTTTGAATTTTCGTGAGTGATATAGTGTGCTTTTGTTCATGTTTCATTGTGAAATTTAAAAAAAAATAGTTTTTGTTGTTAAAATGAAAAATGATATTTAAAAATTGGAGTTGGATTTGGTCACCAATATAAATTGGAGTTGTTTTTGGATTCCGTGAGTAATTTAGTAAGGTTTGACCATGTTTCATTGTGAAATTTAAAAATATTTTTTTATAATTTAGATATTTAAAAATTGGTGGTAGTTGTGTTTGACGATGAATACAATGAGAGTTGTTTTTGAATTTTTATGAGTAATTAAAAAGAGTTTTGTTTACAAGGAAGGTTTATTCTCTCCAACTTATGATTCAAGTTTTACAATTGTTAGCTTTCGCATGACACCTGTTATTTCGATCTCGGTCCCACAGGTATGACAGGTAGAAAAGTTCTACAAACTCTGCCACAAAGGCTTGATTCTTCTGTTGAATGGGAACCTATTAGAGAAGGGAACCAAGTGAAGCTTAGGACAAGAAAAGGTCAATTTTTGAGGGCTAATGATAGTATTCCACCATGGAGGAATTCAGTAACACATAATATCCCACATAGAACTTCAACACAAGATTGGGTTTTGTGGGATGTTGATGTTGTTGAAATCTTGGTTCATTCACCTGTTCCTAAAGAACCTCCACCTTTGGTTTATCATGATCAAGGAGAAGAGACTAATTGGGGTTCTGAATCTACTTCACCTTCATCTACTCTTTACTCTGCATCAGCACAAAGCTTTTCTAGACAAGAGGTATGTATTATTGTTATTTCCAAAAAAGAAAAAAAAAATAGAGTTTGAAATTCTTTGATGTTATGGTGATTATGGTTTGTTATTCTTTTTGTACCAATTTATGTGACGGAGAGGGGAGTTTTGACGTAACTGAAAAAGTTGTTTTTACATGACTAGGAGGGGAAATAGTCTTTTGCAGAAATGCAGGGTAAGACTGCATACAATAGATTCTTGTGATATGGCCCTTCCTTGGACCCTGCATATAGTACGAGCTTGGAGCACCGGGCTGTCCTTTTTACCAATTTATGTGACGTAGGAGATTAGGATAGAAATAAAAGACTTTTGAAACTTTGTGGTCTTCAACATGACATAGCACGGAGTTACAATTGTTGGTGTTTTTGTCAACATATTGAAAAGAGGAAACTTACAGCTTAGAGGAATTTTCTTGGTAAATCTGAATGACAATTTTTCATTGATTTAGTCCAATTTAGGTCTGAAAAGTAGTAGGTCAAATTGATTTTTGATAAAGCT